GCTCAGCACCGCCACTTTAAGGTTCTGCGATACCGTATACTCTCCTGCCGCAATCCGAAGAGAGAGCTTTAACTCTGATATGATTTTCATGATTCTTCTGGAAAATAGCTCGTAAATGCTTGGATTCGTACCCGTACAGGCTTTCTGCTTTTAGAGGCAATCACGAAATGAGAAAGGAAGAGATGTCCAAACTCCCGCAATGTGCGGTGCATTTTAGAAAAAACCTTCTCGAGAAAGATTTCACTTTGCGCCACGGAAATCGACGTAATTTTGCTTACCTAGAATGCACGGATATCATTACTCATACCAACTGGAGAGTATTATACTTAAAATAAAGCTTAGAAGTTATGGACGAGTGGCAAAAAATCCATCGGAATAGTGAATTCAAGGATGAAATTCGAGGTCAGAAGGAAAAAATTGGTGGTAAGGTTCTCCATTTGAATTGCATGTAAGTATCGCACTAATTCTTCGATCCGATAACGTTAATTTATCTCCTTATTTATTCATTCCCGAGTATCGCGACATAATATGACAATCCCTTCATGCATCCTCCTTTGAATATACAATTCATTTGGAAATATGAGTTCCATTCTCAGTCCCTATAGTACATGATCTCATTGAATCGAAAGAATTGTTATCTTCACATCGTCAGGCCATTTTAGCAAGTTTGTGAGAAAATTGCTTTCGATTATTAGAACGAAGTTGCAGCTCTTTCTGCAATTAAATCCGCGAACGACTAACTTTATGCATGTCTGCTATTAAGGAAACGTGATATTTAGGAGCCGCTGAAATATGAGTGAAAAAGTAAAATCATATTTGTTTCTTGGCGTCTTTAGCTTCCTTTCCCTGCATGTACTTTTTCTCTTCAACCCATCGAAATCTTTTCAGAGGACGAAGCTGGCCAGGCTCTCTTGGGTAGCTACTGATCGTTATTTCGAAATAAGACAACTCCACGAGTACAGGGAAATGGACAGATGCTCCTGCTTCTTCAGCTACCCGGAGGGTTTTCACAGTACCCCACATCTATTAATATATTATTGCTAGATCCACCTTATTAGCTCCATTTGTAGTTACACATGCGTATTGAGCAATTCCATGTTCCTCTTTCCTTCCATTAAGAATTAAGAGACCACTTCCCTTCATTAATAGTCTTCCTCTAGCATGAATAATAGCGTCTCTACTGATTCTGCTAGACAGTCTCCATGGTCGTTCCATCCCTATGCTTTCCATAGATAGAGTCCATTTCTGCAAGTATATCCATCCTTCCATTGAAGTCGCCTCACAAGAGAAGTCTGCAACCAGGGAAATCTTCTCCAATATCCTTCACGTGCTTATTTCGCAAGTTTGAGGATGGGACTTAAATACAGACTAATACAGACTGCAATTTTTCATTGCGAGTTTTAGCCAAACCACATCCTCATCATCCTCAAATATTTCTAGAGGTGCGAGGTATCTGCTTTCATGTATACAGATTCTCTTGATGCTCTTCCCCTTCCTGCTCCTATCCTTTTATTCCGAGGCTTTCATACTTCTCAAAGCCATTTATTCTGTCAAAATCTTTCGCTGTCTTACTTTTCTACATTAATTCCTACAAAAATTCCCGCCATTTTCCCAGATTTATCTTCAATGTTCCAGAAGAAAATATTTATTGCAGTCTCTGTTCCTTGCTCGCCAACAAGGAGTGAAGTGCTGGGAAAATCCTATGCTTGGCTTTGGATTTCCTCTTCTGCCTCTACAGAGCAACCTTCATCCAAATCTTGACTCTTTATCCTAAAGCGAGTTCGCTTTGGTCAATAATACTGCCAAATGTCCGTTTCCACGATTTTATTGTCTTTCTTCTTCTCTCGGTTTGTCATCTTTCCCCATGTTTCACCCTTATTTAAAGTTGATTGCAGTTCTGAGTCTTGCTCTTATCACGTCTCCTTCGGCCACATCCCTTCCTCCGTGAAGGGTTTGAAGATGGTTTTCTAACCCATTGCATGTGATGATATGCCAGATAGGCAGTGTGAATAACTCGCCCAAAATTTGGAGTGAACCAGCAAAACATGTCAAGGCATTAGAAAGAGCTTCATTAGATCAAAAGCGTCAAAGCATATTGCGCATCCATATATATACCTCATTCTCACTTTTCAAAGCACTTTCGTTTTGAGCTAGTTTCAAGTTAGGGATGTTTGAGCCTGCCCAATAAATGAAAACTGTCTGACTGAATGAGACGAAAAAACTAGGATGGCTAGACTGGAGGCAATGAATCTTTCCGAACTAAGACAAGCTATCCAAGTGCGGCTTCTTATGCGAGACATGTTGAGGAATGGACACACGCGAACCCCGTTGGGAGACAGTGAATACCCGCCTTAGTCAAACATGCAGCTCACATCAATTCTGAAAACCTAGACCTTGGAACTTTTTTTCCTTATTCGTCACTATGAAGTTCCATGTTCTCTGCAGCTTTCAGCATCCGTTTAGATGTTTAGATCCACGACGAGGAGGCTGAACTACTGGATTTCAGCCGCGAGTACCACAATGAAGACAGAACAAAGCAGTTCGACAGTCTGTCAATATAAAAAGTCACTATCAATTAATGAAATAGGTCTTGAATAGATTCGGGAAAGAAGCATCTGACGTCTTCCGAGAAATAACTCAAATTGACTAAACTTCTCGGCTTCAGTCCTTCTTCGTGAATAGCTCTGCAGATCTTGCAAGCCTTATCATCAGGCATGATCACAGTGTAATGTGGCTTCCACTTGAAATACTCCAAGTATGCCGTTTTATTCTCGTTCAAATAACTCAAATACTCGGCCAGATTCTGAACGGAAGAAAATTTTCTGATGTCGATAAAAGAATCTGGCGGAGCCAAGGTTGTATAATCTGCACCTCCGAGAACCACAGGGACCCAAGGAAAGCGAATGGATTCGAAGAATTTCTCCGTCTCGTAATCCTTACAAATGGCGTTCTCAAACGCCAGGAAAAATTTGTAGGATTTGGACAACTCTCGGAAGGCATCTTGGGGTGTACCTTTCAATGGCAAGTAGGCAGGAGGACACCTCCCGAAAAGGTCCACGTCCACGTATTTTTGCAACTCTCGAATGAGTTGGTCTCGGAAGCTGGGGGTGTCACAATGGCTGATGAGGGCCACGGCCATTTTCCGTTTCGGTAACAGTCTCGGTACCGTCAATGCCCAGTCGTTGTTTCCAGGCTTCCGACGCCGGATATGCCCGTATGGGATGACGACTTTAGATTCAGATTCATAAGTGAATATCCAGTCGATTGGCACGTTGTTAAAAACAGATGGATCTGGCCTGAAAAACGGAGACTCCATGGTGAAAAACCCCCAGATTTGCTCGCTCTTTTTTGTAGTTTTCTGTGGCAATGCAATTCCTTCCTCTCTGTGAGGGGCAAACCATGAAAAGAGAACGAGATCCGCTTTAGATAGGACTTGTTCCTCGCGTCCAATGCAAATTTTGCACTCGTAAGCCGTCTCCTTCGCTTCGTCGTTGCACTTGATCACTCTATATTCAGTCAACTCTCCGAAAACTTCCGGGAAGGATTCGTACAACAATATTGTTTTCAATTCCGAAATTCTTCCTCCCGAGGATGACCCATGACGATAAGTTAAAACTAACACGATTAAACAGGCGAACCCGAAGAAGTGGACGAAGTAGATGAATCTTCTAGATCGATGAGGCCTTCTCGAGCTGCACTTCCTGTAAGAAGGCATAGCAATTTGATGGCAATGTTGTCAAATTTTGTCCGAAGACTTTTACCGTTGGCATACTATACAGGGTGGCGCAAAAAAGACCGGTCCACTTTTTGAACTGGTCTAGAACAGGAACTATTGAAGCTAGCAGGTTCAAAAAAAGCAAATGAAAGTTCAATCCAAGCCCTTTCCAAAGATGTATGGTTTCCAGTCCATGGGTGCCATGGAATGGTTGTCATGGCCAAGTGAAAAAATCATACCCCCCAAAAAGTAGTAAAATGATGGGAAAATGATTGTTCCACCTCATTCAAAGGGGCGTGGGAGAACGTTCTGACGCCGATGCTCCCGGAAATTGAGGACAAAACCCCTAATTACGTGTTTATGCAAGATGGTGCCCCAGCTCACACTTCAAATGAAACTGTGACCTTTTAGATGGAAAACTGCCCTGATTTCATCGAGAAAGGAATCTGGCCTCCTAACAGCCCTGATCTCAACCCCATAGATTACTTCGTTTGGTCTGCATTGGAGCAGAAAGTGTACCATGGGGTGAAAATTCGAGACGTGGCTCATCTGCAGGAACGAATCACTGCTGCTTGGGAAGAGCTGCCCCAGGATTGGATTGCCAAGGCAATTTTGATGTGGAGAGAGAGACTGNTCGTTTTGTCTGCATTGGAGCAGAAAGTGTACCATGGGGTGAAAATTCGAGACGTGGCTCATCTGCAGGAACGAATCACTGCTGCTTGGGAAGAGCTGCCCCAGGATTGGATGTCCAAGGCAATTTTGATGTGGAGAGAGAGACTGCATGCAGTGGTGGACCAGAAAGGAGGACACATTGAACATTTCTTGAATAAATAAATGTTAGTTGAGGTGGAACAATCATTTTCCCATCATTTTACTACTTTTTTGGGGGTTCATTTTAGAGGCTGAAGCAGTCGTGAATACGTTTTTTTGATAGCAGAACTCTCCACAGAAGCTCTGCCGCCTCTTCTGAAACTGGACTTCGTACAGAACGGAGAGTAGCATCATGGCGCTGCACTTTGAGAGCATGCAGGTAAGAACTTATTTTTCAAATCCATTTGTAGGTTGTAGCTGAGGGATTAGGTACCCCTTTTTTATTGCTGACTTGCAAGAAATATCCACGTTTTTCTCTCTGCTCTCCCGTGACTTGTGCGCATGCGCATTGTCTTCCGGAGAGTTCCTGTAGAGTAAAGAAATATGCCCCAGGAAAAGCCCTATGGGGAATACGGATACATCCTGGCACTTCTGCATCGGTCTGACTTTATTCTCTGTTCACATACAATTTTTTCCCCTTCTTTATTATTAGACTTCGCAATGAGTTCACTTTTGGAGGTAATAAAATAAACGCTTTATTGATACATGTAACCCCCAAGTATTGCATGCAATACAAATCATGGAAGAACATTTCAATTCGGACCACTTTGATCCACCTCTGTCATGGAAAAATGCCTCTACCTTCACTGTCGTTCTGGCTACACTTACTCAATATGATAAAATATTCCACGACTGAGCAACCATATCCGTTAATTCTTTCCCTTCTCCCAGATCCCCTTACGTTCTCAAGGAACGTGACAATATCATGTCGTTTATCATCATATCCGAAAGTACTGTACCATTTCAATGCAAGACTTCATCATTCTGCAAGTGGCTCGTTTCTCAAATCAGTGCGCACTCTTGTGGCTTTCGTTCGTCCCAACTTGGAGGAGCTGTTTCTCCCACTAGCCGAATTCTGGTCTTCATTGTTAATAATTACTTCTGATGGGACGAGGAGACGGGAGGAATCCTGGAGTGAGTGTGGAGTGAGAAAGTAGCTTCATGCCCGACGTTTGAGTTGAAAGATATCGTTTAATTTCTTCTTTTTCGAAGACGCTTGTAAATTCACGTCTTGCATACAAAGTGTTGCATTTCTCCATTCGCTCCACCTCCACTTCCATACTTGCATTTTTCGAGATAGGTCCCCTCAGCAGGATAATTCTCAAAATGGCGGATAAAAGATGGAGCGGCAATGAAAAGATGAGCGAAGGGTGAAATGACATTTGAGCAACAATCTTTGCAAAAATGTGTCAATTAGGGATATGGTAAAATCCATGTCAAGCAGACGCCTATTTGGTCTTGAAAAAGCCGAGCCGTTTCTTTTTGTCCTTGTGTTTCTTTTCTTCGTTCTTTTTTAGCTTCTTTACCGCGCGAGTGAGAAACCCGCGGATGGTGTCCACGAGGCTGTCGGGCGCGCCGATGTTACCAGTATCACCCAAGTCCAGCAGCTGCACGCTCTCCAAGGTCTCCCGGAGGTTGGGGAAGGGGTTGTGCTGTCCCCGGAGGAGGTCCTCGGCCAGCTGGGATGCTCGCTTTACTGCCTCCAATTGCTGGATCCGGATCAGGTAGCCCCGCTTTGCCTCCCGCTTCTCGGCTTCGATCAGCAGGTTGATGTAATCGACCGTCGAGACCGGCTCGGGACGTAGTGCATTCTCCTGCAGTTGATTCATGATCATGTGGGCGTCGGAAATCATGCTGTACACCTGAGAGAGAAGAATTTGTGGTAGAACAAATTATAAATCTGGTCCGTCCTAGATCTTGAAAATCCAAAATGTATTCTCTCTTGCAAGACATCCACCCTCCAGGTGTATATGTAACAAGATGGATCTCCTTCGAGGCGGAAACCCACTTGCTAAAGGGCTGTCTACATGTTTGAAAATCCAAGCTGGTGGGACATCCCCCTGATACTAAAGCCTCCTCTTACCCTACATGGATGTAGGTAGACGCCTTGAAAGAGCTGCAGGACCTTCAGAAGTAGTATTACTTTTTTCAGTACTTTAAGAGGCTTCATCTCTTGATTTTCACTAGAAAGAGTGCTTATTACGGTAAAGAACTTCTAAATTGAAAAGTCTAAATTAAGTAGATATGTCGTTCGTTAGGTGAGATTTTTTCAGAATAAGAAACTAGTGGTGTTTATCTTATGTGCAAAGGAAGGAGAAGAACTTCCTCATGGATGCTATCTTTTCCCCCATTAACCAGATGAAATTTGCGAGTCGGGTCTCACCTGAAGCTGACATGACCGGATGTCAGCGGCAAGGTTCTTCGTCAGTTCCTCTTTGTACAAGCTCTTTCTAAGGGTTTTTTCGTACTGGCTACGTATTTCCGCCTCGGAACTAAGTTCCGTGACGACCGTGGCCTCGTATCGCCAGTTCTGGTTGGCGTGGTGGTGATAGGCGCAGTTGCAATGAATGCATCTCGCGTATCCGGTGGTCGTCCGGCTCCGCATGCACTGGCTCAGTTGAAGTTCTCGGTCCGTGACGTCGCTCGGGTACTGACAGGTCCGGCCGGTGCATTTGGAATTGCAGCAGTTGATCGCATACTCCCCGTTGTTGAGTGGGATGCTCTCGTACTTCATGCGGGTCACCTTGAATTTGTCCAGGGTGTTGCGGCTTGTCTTCACGGACTCGTAGGTCTCACGGAGCTCCTCGAGCTTGGTCAGGCCTGGGGGAAGGTTTATATTCTTCTCTGGTCATGCGAGCCTTCATTATTTAACCTTAACTACAGGGCAGGTTGGGTATGCGCGTGGGAATGGTGTGAATTGCATTTTTATATTTCATAATACCTTCTGCCCAAAGAATTTGTTCTGTCTTTGCCATTAAGATTCAGTTCTGCTATCACAGTTGAACCGATGATTTGGACCAGAGTCCAAAGATACATTACTTTAGGGCCTTCAGGGTTAGGAATGGGACGACTGTCTTCAACTTTTCACTGTCTCAAAAGTCCTGGAACACCCTCATTTTGTGAAACCTTCCCCAAAAATAGAAAAAAAACAGGAAACTTGGAGATGGACAAATATAACTAAGGAGCAGTCATTTTGGCAATTCACTTGGCATATTATACCCCTCGGCATTTCGACATAAGACAAGCTCCGAAAGGATTTCTTTCAGATTCAATTTTTTACTCCGAGTCCCATGATGAAATCGTGAATTCGCAAGCTCTTTAATGGATTCCATCCACCATCCACTATTTCACTGTCGAAATATAGTAATGACACTTGGATGGAAATGATAGCGCCTGCAGCATATTTAACGGCAATGGTACGTGCCACTTAAACTTCCAAAATGCATGCATGCGTAAGTACTCGTATATACGCAAACTTTCAAAGTCGCTTATCCTCAATGAGGTGCAGTTGGAGCAGGCGGAGGAGCAACTTCCAGTGTTCGCGATACTATGCAAGGGACTCGAGCTCGGTATGCGGTCCACCAAGCCTCTCGTGACAAGGATTTATGATGTAATCCGTCCCTCTTGCACACCGCACGAGTCTGGTCTTCAGTCAGTAATGTTAAATTGGAGGACAATTTTTGAGGGTCTGTTTGAAGACAAGAGAGAGACTGATCCGAGCCAGCGGGCTTTGGATCTCCCATTCCGAATTCATAGGTCAGAGATCTGGAGTTCTCAAGGATGCTGTGGGTCGACACAGCAGGTGTCGCCCCTCTCACGAGGCGTGACACCGGCCGGCCGCAGCAATTATATATACTATCCACTAGTACAAGGAGAACAAAGGAGGGAGAACACAACCCTGACGGAGTCCAAGACGTAAAAGGAAAGAGTCCCTCGCCCAACCCGTTCGCTTTAACGCAGCTCCTGAGTTCGTTGTATCAGTATCGAATGGCCCGCAGGAGCAGACCGTTCATCCCATACTCCTACAGGACTACCTAGTAGAAGTTGGAAGTCGAAGGATATTTCGAGATCCATAATGCATGCACTCTTTACTCATTAGCGTATTCCCAAAGCCTGTCAGGAATCTGGTGATGAATATCTGCTCCATGGTGCTGCCCCCCTTAGCGAAAGTCGCTGTGCCTATCGGATGGCTCCTCCTAAATATTGCTCTCTTTTCAAGTACCTTGGCATATACAGGGTCATTATGAAGTCACCACCCTAATTTGATCGGTTACAACTTTTTAAGTTGACATTTAATGAAAAAATGAGTCTTTTTCTCAATATCGCAGGAAGGCGTTGCATTCTTATAGACGACGCTGATGCTGACCGTAGCGCCTCCTAGCTACGTGTTATGCCACATTTCAGGCATGGAAAAAAAATTCAGGCTCATGAACCTATCGGCCATATACCAACTGCATCCGAGAGGTCTTTCAAAAAATATGGTCAAACAAAGTTGAATGGTGGCTTGTAACAATCGAATTTAGGTCATAACTTTTTGAGGAATTTGTCAGATGCAACTTATTTTTGCGATGGATGTTCATGGACTTATGACTTATTTCTTCCTTGTCCGGCACAAGGTTGTACATGTTGGCAAGGGGTGCTGTGAGTTATGGGGAAAACATGGAAAGAGGGAATGGAGGATTGTAATTTGACTGGGCGTGACCGACCTCGCCGAATCTCCGATTCCAGTCTTTGCATGATATCCTGCAGCCTCTGCCGGTCCTCCAACACGTCCATCGTCTTCTTCAGCGGTACCGGATCCGAAGATTTGAAGACATCCAGAAAAGTGCTGTAACTCTTGGTCCCCATGTCCCAGAACATGAACTGGAATCCCTCGTCGATCGTGTTGGCGGAGAAGAGGGCGGAATTGTTGAAGCGATAGGACTTGTCGTGGGGGATCTTGGCCGCCTTCAGGGTGTTGAGGACCTTCGGCCTCTGGCCGTCGGCGAAGGAGACGAGGACGTAGAACTTGTCCCCCACGTCCTTGCCGAAGAGTTCCATGACGGAGCCGAAGATGTAGGTCTGGGCCCCCGTGAGCCTCGAGACGGAAGCGGGGAGCACGAGGCCCACGCCGTTCAGGGAGTCCAAGCCGTAGCGTTTGCAGGCGGCGAAGAATGAGTGCACCTGCAATGGGAGCAAACGGATATATCTTGGGGTCTCCGTGAAGATGATACGATGTGCAACATTTTCTTCTTGTCTTATTGAATCAATGAGAGGGGTGTGGGAACGAGTGACTCGTGACGACTTTGAAGACGCGATATCGACGGCTTCTGCCACGTTTCCGTCATTCCGTGACGTGAAATCGAGAAACTGGCCATAGTAATCCCCTTTCGAGAGCATTTATTGACGCTGTTCAAAATGGTTTTATCGATGTCTGTTCGCATCGAAGAAATCTTTAAACCACATGTGAAAAAGGTCCTAACTACGACTCAAGCTCCATAATAAAGGACCTTGCCGGCGGCCACCGCCTCCTACCCCCTTATACCTCCCTCTGACCTCCCTTCGAAGTCCCACCTTCGTGAGCATGCCGCGGTCCAAGTCCAGCCCTTCCGTGTCCCCGAAGCCCGGGGTGTCGATGATGGTGAGGGAATAAGGGACTTGGAAGCCCGTCTGCCAGTGCAGCGTGTAGGCGGTGACGTGCTTCGTCTGGCTCCGGGCGCTGGCCTCCGTCGTCTCTTGCGTCTTGCGCTCCGTGATCAGCTTAAAACGGAAGTCGTCGTCCCATTCCACTCCGTAGACGTAGTTCACGATCCCGTTGATCATCGTCGTCTTTCCTAATGATGAAAATCACAGTTCGAATACGCGCTTCTACCGTAACGAGAAAAATGAAGTTTTGAGGGTGACCTGCGCCGGTGGCCCCGACGAGCATGAGGACCTTCTCCTCGATGTCCTCCCTCACTCTCTCCCCGACGTCGTACTTGGCGATCTGCTTCTCCGGGTAAGACATGATCTTTCTCTTCTTGAGTTTGTAGATGGTCGGGATGCCCTCCTTCCCGGCCTCGTACTTCGTCGCCATCTCCTTCTTGACCATCTCGGACAGCTTTCCGTATTTCTTCCCCGACCGGCCGGAGATGCCCGACCCTGCGCCTGGACGGATGCGGCGGGTGCGCCGGAGGAGATGTAGGGATCGACTGGGTTGCTGATTCGACGAGTCCGATCCCGAGTCTGATCCAGAGTCCTTATCCTGCTCCAAATCCAGGTCCGAGTCCGAGTCTGAATCCGACGAGGAAGACTCCTACAAGGAATTCGGGTGGGAACGAGAAATCGAGTACTGACCATATGACATATGTCATATAACATGATATGAATTTTTTATATGGAATAAATCAGGCATTCCTTTGCATCATTTCACCCGCACTTGAAACGTTTCTTACTGCGGCTGAAATTCATCCATGGGCGCAACCCGAAAGGAAAATCAGTGAGCTCAGGTATCATCAGCAGAAATGTATAAAAGTTAACTTGTGAGTATATCAACACTTCCCTTACTCCGCAAGCATGAAGCATTCACTCCCGCAAATCACAATAGATGGAGCTCGGCAGCTGCTAATCAAATGGAGGGTAAATTACGCAGGAAAATGTTATATAAACTAACCTTTCTTTCCAGATTAATGAGGAACAATTTATCAGTGGAAGAAGCTAAAAGGCATTGCTTGAATTCCTGCACAGCAAATAATGAGGGTGAGCGTAGGGTGTGCTATGGTTGAAAAATGGGTGTGCGTATTCTCGGAGGCGTATTTTCATCAGTGCGCGTTCATTCCCTGCCCAGGACGATCGCATTGCCCTCTTAAGGGTGTGCAGGCTCTCCTTACTATCAGGTGGGTGCATGTGAGCATCTTCGGAGCAAGGAGAACCCTCCAGTGTATCACAATGAACATATACTGTATAATACGCAGTCTACCGAATCACCTAACCATGAAGGAGAAATCGTGTGATGGTGAGAGTGGTCTCCTATTGATTGTCATGGTCTAAAACCTTGCACAAAAAATATGTGTTAATTTATTAATTAATTAAAAAGTTAATTACTTTATTTCCTTGATGCTACCTTTTTAGTGCTCTCTCTTGGATCGGACTAGGCAGTCTCTTCGATTTCAACGATGCCCTTTACATTTTATTGCTAATTGCATTTTTCTTACTGCTAATTAGCAATTATCCATTATGGAAAGACTTCCGACACGTCGAATGGTGCACGTGATTAGTCAATCGCAAGCTCTTGATGAGTCGATTGCGTTGGTGTGTATTTTAGCTGCGAAAGATGAGGAAAGAAGTAGTAATTTTAATGTGTAGTCACGTTGAACGGAGGGCGAGACTGCCCGTTTTCGTTGGAACAGAAACCCTTATGTGCGGTGATAGGAAAAGTAGATGTATGTTCTGTGTTCTTTGGCGTAATGTTATCGCACCGGACCAAAAAACAGGAGGCTCAGGTCCAATCCATGGTCGTCCCCTAGATTTTTTTTCGTCCAGTCCCGGCAGTCTTCCCTATCTTCGGTCGTCATGACATATGCCCCAAAGAAAAAGTCAACTCTCGAACTTTTTCACGCAGTGATTTCGGACTTTTGCTACATACATTAACTAACCTCAAAGAAAGCAGGAAGAAGGCACATCAAGCGAGCCGCATTCCTTCTACGTTTGGCCGAAAGCGCGCGAAAGTGAACCTATTTTGTAGGATGATGGGTCAGTTGGATTAGAAAATAGTCGCGGTTAAAGACCGCTACACTTACTGACCCAACTCACCCATCATTCCACAGAATAGGTTGACTCTTAGGCCTTTGACTGAACTTGAAGGGAAAAAATGTTGAGGTCCACAAAACATGCCAGGGCCATGAAATGCCTCACCAAAACGACAAAGACTAAGCCAAAAAGGCGTAAGCAAACTTGACTCGAGTATAGTGCGCATGCACGGGAAGGTAGCAGACGCAATGGCCTGGGCGTGCCGTGGAACATTCCTGCTCCAGAATGTCCACGTAGAACGTAACCATTATATCAACATATTAATATTATAGACTCATACCTCAACTCCTTCGGCTAAAACATATATCCCTGTAACATATTCATGCAGTATGTTCATGCGATATATATCTTTATATCTATATATCAACATTCTGCGGGTAGTCCACTTCACCACAGGTCATTACTTTCCGCCAATCACTTTAGGCGGCTAAAGAAAAAGACCGTCTGATAGCGTATTCGCCTGCACCAAACAATAAACTTGATTACCAACCGATCAGCCCGCTAAATCCACGCGTCAGATGGATCCAATAGAGTTTATTCGCATTCCCTGCCTGGCTCAAAATCATCCTTTTCATCCAGTGCCTGGGTGTACGAAACTTCAACTTCGTGTCTCACTTGAATGCTACAAGGCGGGTATGACTGCGAATTTGCATACATCCAGTTGAGAGTTTCCTGATGACATGAGGCATCCCATATTATTCATCCAAAGTGTGGCACTTTGAAATTCGAACGTTATCCCTTTAATAATTTATTTTATCTGACTGCTAATTACAAATTAGACCTGAGTCTGTTGGAACGTTGTTACCAGCGAAGCGAATCCCGCGGGACGCGGGTGTGGTCATGATATCTATATTGCGCATTTTCAGCTGTTTCCGGTGTAGGCCTCTACCACCTACCACCTTTCGATAGGCCATAACGTCACACTGGATCGCCATACTCGGGCGACACAAGGAATCCGGCGTACGTCCAGAGTGTACCTTTAGATCTTGAGGACACACTGCGGGCATACGTTGGATGTCTCGTGCTACCCGGATAGATTGGTATGTCTAGTTGTGATTAGCTGATCCCGCTACGATATCGTCTGGATGGACCCATAGTGCGAGCTCAAGACGCAGTACGTCCAAGGGCCACTTCGCTCGCAAACATTACCTATGAACATATTATTAACCAGAGAATAAATAATTTTAATCTGCAAGTTTCCCAGTCGTGTCCATCGAAAATGCTTGGAGGGGAGGGGGAAGCACGTAGAAATGATAAAGAAGTGAACCTAGACAACCGCATTGTTAAGATAGCTGCCCGTCCATGCGTTGGAATACGGACTCATTCGCGGGACTCGACATTTTTTTAAGTTTTTAAAAATCCTGGCGATACAGCTGGAATATCATAAATTTAAAGTGCGACGATAACTCACGGGTCGGACTGCAGGTCCCGGTTGAGGAGCAGGCGTCGGCATCCGACTGACTCTCCTACCATCCGCTATACCTTCGAAGGAAATCTGCCACAAAAGGGGGGAACATTGATGCAACGGTGACGCTAGCCACTTGGGTTCTGTTTTAAAGTTAAACCTAATTGTATTCACCACGCTAAAAAAAAAATAAAATTGGATTCCACTCTGGTTTAATAGAAATAAGAATTCCAGTTGCAAGTAAACTCGGAAACGCGCCGAAGTGGAACTTTGCAATATATTTTGCTCGCGAGAATCTACACCGACTCAACTCCAGGCTCACTGTTAGGTTCCACCGCCTAGAAAGAAGCGACACTATATATTTCCTTTAGAAATGCTATCTGGCACAGGGTAGACGAATCCCCCCTCGCTCAAGCTTCGAAAGCTTCAGAAACGATCCAGGCAGATAGCAAAGCGCTTCAAATCCTCCTGCATGTCATCCATTTCGATAAGCCAGCTCGGCTCTCGATAGAGTCTCATCCTCGTTCTCCGGGACTTGGGTAGAGAGAGCTACTGTCGATGCGTTCCATTAGATAGCCGTCTTAATCCTCGAATGTGAGTAAATGCAAGTACAGGGTGCTCGAGAAGTCCCTTCCCGGAATACCAGGGTATGGGAAGTTGAATGACAAGTGCGGCCATTGAAAGGAAAGCACCTTCATGAAGAATATGGAACATTGGGCATGAAGCTATGGGAACGGCATTGACTAGAATTTTTGCATTTTCATTCACCCCCCCGCACAGTAATGTGCGACAGCATCAACTTGAGGCTTATGATCTACTGATTAAGTTTCGGCCTGTAGTCCTCAATTCCGAGTGAGCAGAGGCAAAATGGTGGTCGAATTTAGAAATTGCTGCTTCCGCCTCAAAATTGAAGTAATGATTAACCCATTGTCACACGACGGTTTGTCTGGTGTCTAAATAGGGACATTTTATGTCGAAAAACCTGGTTTCGATAGGTAAACATTGCTTGAACGCTTCAAATGACTATAGTGACTCTAGTAAATTTAGAAACGGCTACCACTCCTGTCTCCAAAATGCCATGAGAGACAAACTCCGTAGTCACACGGAAGTTGTTTGATGCCTAAATGAGAGCATATTGTGCCAAAGAGTTTAGTTCTTGCATTCAAAGTACTTCATACTGCAACTATACCCAATATGACAGCATATTTTCAAATCGTGGATGCCATATACGAGTGTCTTTAAAAGTTTATTGATGCGTTCAAGCACCTTCGTCTTGAATACTATTCCTCGTAGAGCGATAACATTTCTGTGATTAACGATAATGTCCATCAGAGGAAGCTACATCCGCTCAATATTACCAGCATTCACATCCACTAGGGCTTGGGATGACATGATAGAAAGCTGAACGAAGCTGTCCAGCGTTCACCATGGGTGAAATTATGGCCTGTAGACATTATCATTAACCGCAGAAACGTATTGCCCTTGGTCTCAAAGTGTGTCCGACGGTGAAAAATGTTGATATGAGGCATGCCGAGCAGTTCCTCCCCAAGGCGACGCTAGAGGGCTTCGAAAACGAGAGTTTTGCGTATTTTGTGCGGAGTTTCACGGCCATATGCTTTAATGTATGGAGACGATCTTTGCAGGGGGAATAACTGATAGACTTCACTTTGTTTTTTATTCGTCTTAGATTTTCGATGACCCCTTCATGAAGCGAAATAAGCCTAAGAAATAAACATAAATTGATATTGGAGCGAAAACAATTATACACTCCTATTCCTAGAATAACACATTTAATCCGAAAACTTTCCAAACAAAACACATCACAATCCTTCCAGGTTAATTTGCAATCAAGAAACTTGAAGTACAATAACTGGTATCGTCGTGAAACACCGCCCCGTGAAGCAACTTATTCTGCCATAGACTCAACACGGGATGACATTTTTTCCTGCCTCTTGCCTTACGCGACACCTATAACTGCTTTTTTTAGTGAGCGGTTAAAGGCTACAAGATGAGGCCAATGCACGCATCTCACTCGCCTCGCACGGCCAGAGAGGTGGAATATTGGAAAGGGAAAAAAAGGAAGGGGAAAGGAAAAGCGAGATTCGTAATCCCGTTCTCTTCCCCCTCTGTTCATTTCCCAGGAGTGGCGTGCCGAGAGCTTTTTGTGAAGTGGGGCGGCCTCAGCCCAATGACCGCTCACCCTCGCTTTCATCTCGGATGCACAGTGGCGTAACCTAGGATATAACCTTGGAGTATAAGGGGGTTCCACGTTCCTTTGCCTCTAAAGAAGGAGGAAGGATTGCTGAGCACATATGGTTGGAGCAAAGGTATGAGGGGGGGAGGATGCGATGGGCCCACGCGTCTATCGGTCCCCATGCCGCTATCTATAACGACATAACCTATTAAATTATCATTACCTCTAATTGATCTCCATGACAGCACTCGCAAATGATTATACAGTAAAAAAAAATAATCATAATCCCCCTCCCCCTCCCTTTAGTCCGCCCCTGCATGCATATCATGTTCCTGTTACGACGGCCTTCCTCTTTATCTATACCTGTCTGGTAACGCCATGATAAATGGAGAATAAATTTTTCGCCCTCTTCTTCATTTTCGTCCGACTTCATTCCAGTATCAAAGTACCTGGGTGAAAAAAGGCACTAAGCCATTTAATTTCGCACTAACTTGGACATAACGTGGACCCTCCATCATCCACCCATCCCTTCGGACAGGTGGAGCAGCCGTCCCACTTCCATCCGGATGCGCCACTGAGTCCCCGAAGTAGCGTTCTAGCTTCGCGCAACTCCCTGGTTTGGATCTACGATGGGATTCGCACCAATATTTATGCCGCGGACATCCTTCTTATACATTTTTGTCGAGAATTCAATTCATTCCATCGCAGTGTTTTTGTTAGCCTTCGGTGCATGTCGACAGAGAGATCTTCATCAGCTGGAGAAAATGGACCGCCGCCCAATTCTGGGGTATTGTGTCGAAATGTCGGTGTTCAACGATGTCAATTGGTAATCTCATGCTCTCTCAATATCCCATAGCCACTGTCACCTACGAGAGGTGACGGTAATCTCGATTACATGCATGTGGCGGACCATTCCGACACGGAATAAGCATTAATTCGAAATAACCATAATTTGATATGGCCATACAACAACTCGAAGATAAAATCGGTTGGTTGAACGTCGGCGTGATGACACGCCGGCTTTCCGGCAGACGACAATCTCTGCTTACACGCTATTGTGACGTCAAGAAATATGTGACAACTGGATTTTTAGCGGAGCGTACGCGTGCATGCGCTGTGATGTGTCGAGTCGACTCCGGTTTTCCAAACGCAATGGCGACAAACACACAAGGGACTTGGGAACCAAGGGGTCTTGTGCCTCTCCTGTTTTTCCACTTCCCTCATGTTTTTGTAATAAAACAAAGGGGACAGACCGATAGTAATATCTGCCATTTTCCCATTGTAACTAGGGGAATGGCAGACAAAAACTTTTTGGAGAGATTACTCTTGCCTCTTCCCAAGAATTGAGCCGTTTTTGAGGTGCATGCTAGGTAATATCCCGAAGTAAGGGGTTCTTCGACAGAGTCCAAGTATTCCAACCAGGAGAAAAAATACACCTTTCGTTTACGGTCTTGATGATGGAAATAGCTCTACATCGTGATCGCGCAATTATGCAGCACTTACCGCGCAGGCTTCTACCGTTCACCTCACGACACGTGGAGAACCTAGATTACAGCGGATTGCCCAATCCTGCGAGCTGATACAAGTATATCAGGCTATGATAAATCTTTGTTTGATCCCTCGCGAGGATTTCAGACTCCTGGAAAAACGAAGCTTTCGTTAAAAACATTATCTCTTAGGGGTCCTATTTGGCTAGGAATTAGGCCTATGAGGCCTGGCCTTACGCTTTCCATCCGTCCAGGAATTTTTTGACGGGATCACCAAGAATACTTAAAGGAAGGACAGTTGCATGCCACCTGTCAATGCGCCCGAAAGTTGACCTTGAAATCCCTTTCTATGCTTAATTTCCGAAGATTTTTTCGATGAGGTGGGACATCCCAAAGAACCAGAGCGACATGAAAACGCACCAGTCTGATGGGGTTATCCGACTGATGGATGTTAGGCGTGGACGTCCTCCCGATCCTCCTGTCAGGCGCCGAATCCTCGCGCGGAACCTGCGGGAAAGAGGGGAAGCTGCATCTTAAAATCTGCATGCAGCAGATGCCACATCTCAAAATAGTCGTAATAATATCATTTTATGCAAATGGGGAGTTTAAAGGTTTATGGAGTTTCAATGGAGAAAAGGCGGAGGCAGATGTTGCCAGATGATGGTAATCTGCATTATACCCATCGGGGGTAAATTCACATATCTGCCAACTGCCTGGTTTCAAAGCCGAGAAACACACACAACGTAGAACTTTTTCAAGACGAAAGAAGGTAATCGAACGTTCACGTGTATACACTTGAAGAGCAAACCAAACATTCAAAACCAATTAATAAACAAATACATTCAAAATGCAGCATGTTCCACATGTTGCATGATTCCTTGCATGATTCTGACGCGATCATGCAGGAGAAACGTAATAACAGTTGATTCCTATATCCTAGGAGCTGTGATATCGGGATGTGATAACCTTTCATTTGTTCCCTCTCATGGATTTTACGAGGCAGACTCCAGGGAAAATGATTTAATGAATTTAAGGTCTACCTTATCGTCAAGGTTGCTATTAAGCAACCTTGGTTGCTATTAGGGAGTAAATATTTTGAATTCACATACATCTCCTTCCTGTCTAGAAATGGATGTGACCAGGTTAAAAAGAAAAGATTAAAACTTGGGAAAGAGAGTCGCGCACCACCTTTTAATGCGCCCCGAAGTGGAGCGAGAATCGACTGGCACCTATTCCTCTTCGAAAATGTTCAAGCTTTTCTCGGAAAGGTGGATTATCCTAAGAAAGAAGTGGGAGACGAAGACTCACCGATGAGACGACGTCATCCGACTGATGAAATTCATAGGTCGATCTCCGATTGGTTCTTCTGCTATCCACTGAATCCTCGCGTGGAATCTGTGGGAAGGAGGGGAATATGTGTCTCAAATGCAGAGAAAAATGTAGAGTTCTCATTGAATGATTTGAGATTTAAAAGAGTGGGAATGCGTTTTAAGCCGAGTCAGAGATGCAAGTTAGCAGCAAATTATAATCGGTACACTTACATTCACATCGAATTTTAATCCGGTAGATCTACCTCTTGCCAAGTCCAACGGCTGAGAAAAGGCAAATCAGTATGTATCCCTTTTTAAGTTCAATACAAGAGAATGCAGAAAAACGTGTATCGGTCGAAGAGCATCGCAGATATACTACGCACTCAGCATAAGCTTGAGCAGAGATTCCATCAGAAGAGAAGGTCCTAATCCACCTCAATTTTCGCGATTGCACAAGCGCAGCTCATGCCTAATATAGGGTCTTTGACTACTTCGAGCGTCTTTCACTACTTAGGCCATGTCAACTGGAGTTGGAAGAATGGAGCTACTTTCAATATGCCTGATCTTAGCGTAACGCTAGAAGTCAAGGCCTTCTCTCCCACGAGCAATTCACAGGGATTTTTGTGTCGGTAAGAAGTGGCAAATCAGGGGGAAAGACTGTTGCGTAACTGACGTAAAGTATTACTATTAACGATCAATATACTTTTTTTTATTCGTTCTTGAGAAAATTATTTCACACTGAAGAACTAGAACGGGAAGAAAACTCACGATTTGATCGGGATGATCAGTCTGTTGTAAGTCCTTGTTTCCCATTCGCCTGATCCGCCTGTGACCATTCGATTCATTGCGCGGAGTCTGTGGGAAAGAGGGGAAGCTGCACATGAACTTCATCCTGACATCTCGAAATTAGTCATTTTTGTGCAGGGCCTGCGAAAACCCATTCAAAGGTGAAAATAAATTCCAGTCGTGAATATATATTGAGATGGCGCAGAGATGAATTCTGACAGACGATTTCATTAGTATGCAATAAAAATCTACCTACCGCCAGGTTCCATAACAGAAAAGTAGCAAATATAATTTATTTATTAAAGCTACAGAAAAGACAGAAGAACCCAGTCCCAGTTTAAGACCATCCCAGACGAGACTGAGGCATATCCTTGCGTTTACATCCACCTCGAACCATGTGGCCCTTCCGGACTTGGTTGATTTACGTCTGCGCGGCTCCCAATGGAACCTTGTCTGAGAGTTTTCCTGGTTGCCTCATCCGGCGTGGAATCGGGAGGGACGGAGCGCCAAAAATCGTCCAATCTCGGCCGCCTTTCTCCTCGATTTCAGAATAAGCAAATGCATCAGAATATGTGTAGATGACTGGCTTTCGAGTCACGATTCGTCTCTGGGTCTTGAAGAGGTTATTGAGTATAGTTTTATTCCGGAAACGAAATAGATGACGCGACGCTGTCTCCACGACAGTGAAAATGCCTCTCGTGTTTGTTGTATGTTGTTAATGTTTGTTGATGTCTGCCTGTCTCCATTAAATGTTTCGATCAAATATAAATCTAACTTTTCCTTTGTTACTTGAATTAACTGTGAAAGGCATTTTGTTGTATTCGTACACCGTTACCGTTTGGCGATGGAACTGGCTATCTTTTTTTATTTTTATTTTTGCCTTTGGATCAAAATTCGAAATTACCTTTTTTAATATTTTCTTGATAATAACTGAGTTTCTCATTTTTCCTCATCGTCTGCAGAATGCAGATAAAGCATCTACGGAGAACGGGCCATTACGGAAAGGGTGAAAAGTGCGATAGGCGAAGAGAAACAAGGTGTATCAGCTCTCAGTATCTTCCATTCTACATGAAACCCAACTCTCAGGTGACGTTTCTCACAAGTGAATTCTCCCTTTTCCTTCCGTTTCTCGTCCTTTCAGACCATGTGAAATTCACTCTCTTTCTTCAGTTATACAAAAGGCAATGGAATGCAAAGAGTAGGAGTCCTTCTAGCGTCTTCCACCCCGTAGTCCCGTCCCTTTTACCTAGCGGCTGAAAATGTTTTAGCGACTAATCAAACACTGCTTCTCGCCATCTCTGCAGTCACACGGGGACGACGAGCTTCCGGGATTCTGGCCTTTATGTAGCATTGCTTCCTCATATTAGAACTGAACGCCACGCCACCTCACCCACCCACCCCTGCATCCCTCACGACCCAACGATGCATCTGAGTTCATATTGCACGATTCCAATGTCCAGTGATCTGAGAGAGAGTTTAGTGCTCGAATGCTGAGTAGGATGGTATTCGAGGATAAGGATCTCACCGATATACCGCATTCAATGTTTTCGAATCCAAGGACACATTGACACGCGAGAATCAACAAGTTGACATCCCTAAGGATAAGATTTCTAACTTCTAAGAGATCTGCTCCTTTCTCACCTTCGCCATTTCGGTACCATATGGTGCCAGCTCGCCAAGACCTAAAACTGAACTCAGCGCTGCTCTGATTCCACGGAGCCACCTCTTGGCGGTCACACTCGACAGCGCAGTCATGAGTCACTTTATACTATATCAGCAAAACAATATACCTGATTTCAATTGAATTTAAAGGGACATGATGATCCATGAGTGTCTATTACGAAGTTCATCCACCTTTTAAATTTCAACTTCCCTTGTGAACTTTTTTTTTTTTACTATATCAGGGATGTGAATATTGTCAAAAAGTACTGATTTCTCATCCAGTGGCTCGGACTTGGGGACTATTGACGATATTTTTATTGATAATGGTAAGATATGAAATATGTTTAATTATTTTAGTTCTGATAATGCCCTTTCATACAGTATGTGTTTGAAGGCGTTTCAATGAAAAAAACCGAAAGGTAAATGGTCTCACCCTAAACCTTGAATTCCAGAAATGATTATGTTCATTTTCAGTCATTCTAGAAGTTTATTTTTACGAAAAAGTATCGCAATATTTCAAAATATTCTTCTATTGATGCATCAAACTTCGATGTGTAAGCGATATGTGATGCAAAGATCCGAACTATAATGTGTTAGCAAGTGACCCTTAGAAAATGCCCTGGAAGAACTTTGATAGTTTCTGTAAAACTTAGCGATTTAAGGTGGATTTTTGAACAGAGCACTATCCGATAATGCAGCTTTATTTCAGAGAAAATGCA